ACTTTATTCTAACAAAAAAAATTTTTTCTCCTCTTTTTTGTTTTTTCTTAATGCTGGTTTGCAATTTGGGCACACACTGAAGAACAGAGGTGTTAAAACAGAATGCTGCTTTGTGAGAAAATTTTTAAAGTACTTCAGGTAGCTTCACAAACTGCTTCCAGTAATTTACTTTACACAGTCTTTCCTTGTTGGGATTGGCTTTTACAAACAAGAACAGAACAAGGAATATCAAATTATAAAGCTTAAGTGGAAAAGAACACCTGCCAGCCTTCAGATAATACCAAAATTTACAGGACCATTAAAATGAAGAAATACAGAAAGAAAAAGGGGGGGGGGGAGAAAATAAAAAAATTAATATTGGCTGCTGAAGTCAAGGAGCTAGGAAAGCAAACATCATAGTACCACAGGCAGTAGATGCACTGAAGGACCAGGTCAGACTTAACTGTTAATGAAAAAAAAGCCAATTACATTGGATGCCTAAGATTCTCTTCAGCTGCCAGCTTTGTAGGGGTACAAGTATGTGTTCATACAGAACAGCTTGCAGGATGAGGGCGTAACAATGTGAAGCTAATGTCTAAACACAGTGTAATATAACTGGAACCAGGATCTGTTCAGCCTTTATTTTCTTTGGCTGCAAGACTGGTAGAAAATGCAACACTAAAGTTTTGACCAATCCTGCCATAACCTACTAAAAAACTTATTTGAAAAAAATAGTTTACAGGCAGCCTGTATTCTCATGTATTCATGAATTTTAAATTGTACTATAAAGCTAGAGTACATGGAAAATGAATTTTCACAGTTGCTAGTAAGAGGGCTTTTTTTTTTAATAAAGAGCTGGTGTTCTCAAAACACAAAAATTAGCTCAATTGTATCTTCAGTTTTCAAATCAGTCATATGAACACTTAATACACAAGCACTATTGTAACATAATATGAAGATCATATCAGTCATCACTGATAAACATCTGAATGTCCCTGCATAAACTCACCTTGACCTTTAAAAGTTGAATATGGCAGCTGACTTTACACAGCTTCTTTTGCTAAATGGGCACCCATGACTGTTCTCCTCTGTACTGACACACAATCGATACCTGCTTTCTTTTCTCCCCCAAGATGGGTGGTTACCCTTTCTTAAACACACAACTAGACATAACTTTAATATTTTTCTCATACACCATTTCTAGGTGCTCACACTGAAAGACTTAAAATTGCAGTCAGAAATGAATAAAAGTTCTTGTTTCTCCAACGCAACTCTGACACGGCACCTTTGAACCTGAGCAGACCTGCAGAATCACAGAAAAAAAATGCAACAATTTGATTTGTGTATCTGTTACATTTATTTACAAAACAATTACTCTGTAAAATGCTGCAAAGCTACAATTGTTTCCTCAAAATAATTACTGTTTCATTTAAGAGTTTTCATGCAGTCGTTACCTCAAAACCTTGTTAGGGTTCTACAGACCCATCTGAGCACAGAACAAAGACAAATCCAAGGGAAGCTGCCTGCTGGTAAGCTATTATAGTGGTGATCTTCAAGCCTTAATAAAGTTATCAGTACAGAAACTCTGGCTGTCACATTTGAGAAACTAGAAATCTGTGTTCCGTGCTACTTGCCACTTCGCGTCTTCAGTAAGCCCTCAAATATACAGCTTTGGTTTTAATGCAAAATTGTTTATTTTAGTCCTGTACGTCTTAAAAATTCTCTTCAAGATTATCTGTGGGCAGCTAATACAATGAAGGTGACCTAGTTACACCTAACACATTGTTCAGTAAAAACACATCCAAATCATAACACCCGTCATAGAAATTGATTGCTTCTTTCTGTAAAAAGTGGGGGACCAGAACAGGATAAAAACTGCAGTTAACTGTTAAGGATGTTGGAAAACCCTACTACCTGCTCACAGCACATGTGATTCTAAGCTGTAAATTTCTACTATGAAGTATATATTCTATGAAAAGCTTCATTTTCCATTGTTTTACTCTCAGTTGCTAAGCCTGGTAATTACTTTTGGAAAATATCTTTAGAAAGCATGGCTAAACGTAAGTAGAGCAGCTAACTAGTAAACTGGTCCAAAGATACTACTTAAGATTTTTTAATGTGTGGTTTGAGTAAGAAATTTTCTAAATGCTGCAAATAAGTCCTCATATATAGCTCCTGAATTATTTTATAGGTACATTTCATTGTTGTAAGTATTATTTATGTACAAAAGATTAAAAAGCAAGGTCCTAAAGAGGAGTTTCATTATGAGTCTTCCAGAGAAGTCCCAACCATTCCAAGGTGGCTCTTCATTAACTCTCTTTCAGAAACTACAGATTTAAACCTAGTATATAATAATATACCATTAATAATAATAATACCATTCTGGGTATTTTGGAAATAAATTAATAACTATTATTTAAAAATTGTGCATTTATATGGAGCAAATAAACCTGTATCTTGAAATAATGTGAAGACTGTTGTCCAGTCATTTACAGTAGATTAGTCATCCTTATGTCTAGATCCTTAAAAGATATTTAGGTAGAGAATCCCCATGGAAATTAGAAGGAGCTACCCATCAAAATATAAAGGAAAACCTGAACTCTTGAGAAAACAGGTCTTCAGTGAAAATATTTTAATAGTATTACTAGGTCTTGCTAATCTATAATATTACTCCTAGCACATATATATCCATAATACTAGCTAGAATGTACCATCAAGCCCATGATTTTCAAGGACTGACATCGCACAAAAATTTACTCTTATAAATTCATAGTATAGACTTCAACTGTCAAAACTGTGGTCACCGCAAATATCCTGTGGGTACACACAACCACAAGAGACAGAGCAAGAGAAGGGAGATTGAGAGCTACTGTGAAAGAGAAATATACAGCAGGGATTTAGGTTTCAGGCAATTAATAATATTATTACTTTTAAATTAGAGACACACATTTTACACACACAATGCTTATGAAAAGTTGACTTTACAGAGAAAAGGAAAGGTGATCACTGAATGACACGAGCACTAATTAATCCAATTGCCTTAGCTACAACACATGAAAACAGAAAATGTCCAACATATAAAAGTTTAACATATTTAATAAGAGAAAAACGAGTCAAGTGCATACTATGTCATTTAAATGTTTCGCATTTTGACTGATTGCAATGAAGAGAATGCTCTAAAAATGAACATTTCGCATCAGAAATAAAAGGGAAAAAAGCCCAAACCAATAGAAAAAACTCTCTTCCTGGGGAAGACAAAAGATACCTCTCTTCACTCCTTCCCACAGAAAATTAATTAATGTTCATTGATTCTCTATTCTGGTCAGGAAGGTGATCCTTTGACACTGAAAAAAAATCCAGTTGTAGAAAAGCATTTAAGATCAATAATTAGAAACTAATCTTTCCTATAAAAAAGATGCACTGTCTATCAAAAACTTGACTAACTCTATGCCTTCCACACACACAGAGCTGTCTAGAGATTCAATCTAGACAGATGGATTAACTAAACATCTACATGTACACTCCAAAAATACACAGTTTTTGTTTTGTTGCAGGAAAGATTGGCAGTTCTGAACACTGCAATCCACAATTAAAATATCAAGGCATACCTACAATAACATAACAATGCCACCCAAAAATAATCAGTGGAATCTGCTATATCCTTCTTGTAATTTAATTTAAAAAAAAAACACAACAAAAAAAAACAGTATGTTTCTTATTTTCAAAATGTATTCCTAAGAGGGTAACTACTTTTGCCCTGTATCATACATACTAAAAGGGTGACTACTTTTGCCCTGTATAATACATACTAAGAGGGTAACTCCTTTTCCCCGTATCAACATAAATTTTAGCACTTCACGGTAAGGTTTTTTGTGCAGAAGTAATTTATCATTAGATCTCAGACTGGACCAAATTTCTAATTGTCTACCACACCACCCAATTTCATGCTATGCAAGTAAAAACAAAAGCAGCTTACTGTGTAGGGGGCATTTCAAGTTCAGCAGCTGTATTAAATACAATAGCAATGAACATTCAAAGCTTCTAGCAGACAACAGGAGCGGAAGAAATCTTTGGTTACTCGTAGAGTAAAAAAAAAGAAAAAATAAAATCTGATCTCTCTGGTTTCATGCAGGTTAACTACTGAGCCACCCCCACCTGAAATGTGTACTACAAACAAATCTGTCTGCTTATGATTTATACTCCTGTATTAGTAAGACAGCATAAGCAAAAGTTCTTAGTAGATAACTTTCCATGATGAGCTTCTCCCCATCCCTCAAGCCATTGCTTACATTTTCCCTGCTTTATTTTGATTTTTATTCTACAAATGGAACTCTTATATTCCTGTTTTCATGGGCATTATCCTGCTAGAAGCTAAAATTACAATTCATGATTACAGTACAAAGATAGATCAGAAGAGGCTATTCAACATCGTAATCTGGAATTATTTAATTGCTACATTCACATTCTTTCCTGAATCCGAATCTATCCTAATTGCATGATTAGAGGCATTAAGGAAAGGGCATACAGACTTTCCACCAAACAGCTAACAGCAGCAAGAGACAGAAGAGGTTCTGCATGTCACTGGTTTATTTTGAGGTGCCAATTCTTATTTTACTGTAACTAAGTAGTTATTCCACTGAACCAGGATATAAAGGAAAATTATCAAGAAAACACAGCTACTCTGAAAAGGATCTTACCTGGAACTAAAGACACTGGGCTATTATAGAAGGAACACCAGAACTGAAAGAATTAAGTGTGGCTTGCGAAGCAGCAAGTGCAAAGAGCAGCCCACTCAGCTCAAATGAAGTCTGAGCGTAATACACTGCAGAAACTGTTCAGAAACAGTTCATCTGTACGAAACATGACCCCTGTAAAGCTGCCAAAATCAGTGAGAGCATACAAGTGCTAATCACGCAAGCTAAAATGGCTCAAGCTGCTTTGACTTACATGCATGCCTAAACATAGATGACTGCATATCCTAGATTAAGAGTTTGCAAAAGGAACGCAACTGTTTTCTTTACCTGCACTTCTACATGCAATCAGTACACTTCTTCATTATCCATGAGCAAGCATACCCCCCCCTACTCCTGTACTTGGAGATCTGAATACAGCTGACATGCAATACTCCTCCTTCTATAACTTATCCCCTCAAGCAGGACTTGGAGATGCAGTGTGAGCATTTTAAAACAAAAAGAAAAATTCAGTAATCAATTTACTAATATGTTAAAAAGTATACTGCATAAAAACATCACCAGGTCACGTTCATCAAGAGAATTTACTGGTGACAAGAACAAAAAGGCAAAATACAAAAAGAAAGGTTGTCTAAGGCAGTGTGGAATAACACTGCACAGTCTAACACTCTCCAGAGTCACCAATACCTAAAATACACAGTTTAGCTTTTTGATTTAGGAAAAAATGCATGCCTTGGAGGCTGACTTCAAATATTTTGTTAAAAATACATAGCTATTACCTTAAATACGTATTGCCATACAAGATCAAAACAAAAAGCATACTTTAGAACTGGGAGGTGGGAAGAAGTAGAGGAATACAGAGCATATCTCGCTTCAATGAGTACCACACTACCACATCTGGAATGCTAGTTATTTTACCAGCAAGATTTGCTAAATAATACTCTCTAACGATCGATGGAAGGGTTTTCCCTATTGTGACATCCACGCCCCACAGAAAGATAGAGCTCAAAGAAAATACTGTTTTCTAAAACCAAACACCACATTTCTTTCAAATTAAAGATGCAGCTGAACCAGAACAAAAGATGTCCACAGGAAATATTTTCCACAAAGTTGTCTACTAATACGAGGAAACAGAAATGAAGGGACAAAAAAAACGGCCATGTACCGGTTTCCTTTTCCTGATGCCCTGACAACACTCCCTCGTTCAATTGGTCGTGTGCCCTTTTCAAGCTGTAAGGGATAGCATTCCTCCTTCCCTTCGCACCGGGGCGGACCGTATGTGTAGAAAGGGCATAGAGCACAGAGGCAGAAGGAATAATTGTTATTTAACACGGTAAATGGAAACGCTCTACTCTCAGCCGCACAACCCACCCCCTGCATTCCACCTCCGAGATCTCCCGGAGGACACGGGTGGCCGGGACACGGCTGCCTCCGGGGAGCGATGGCTGTCTTGTGACGGCGAGGGCTGTGCTACCACCGAGCCAGCGCACACGAACCGGGGCGCTCCCTCTGCTGCATCGCCCCGCTTTCCTCTACCCACAAAACCGTCGCTGCGAAACAGCACCCGCGAAACCCACTCCGGGGAGGTACCAGCAAGGATAATAGTGTAAAAAAGGGCAGCCAGAGGAAGGCAAGCAGCGGCGCCCTCCCCAGCGCGCAGCAGCCGGCGCGCACACACAGCCCGCCGGGGCCGGACTCGCACGGGGGGCGCATCCCGCCTCACGGCTCTGCGCCCACCCCCGGGCCGCCCACGACCGCGGCAACCGGGGGAGACGAGGAAAAGCGGGACGCCTCGCTCTGCGGCGGGCACGCGGCTCCTTGTCAGGGGGCCCAGGCATCGGGGACACGCCCGCCCTCTGGTATCGTGCGGGGGCCATAGGGGCGCCACTGCCTCCCCCTCCCCACGGCTGTCTGCCGGGCGCCGTTGGCCTGAGGTGAACCGTCGTGCCCTTCCCTCCTCCTCTCCCCACCACCCCCTCCCGCCGCTGCTGGGCAGTACCTCATATCTGCGCAGGCCGGGGGACTCTACTCATACCCATGGCGAAGGCGGGGGGATGGAGGAGCCGGAGTGGCGTCCGCCACCGCCTCCGCCAGACGCACCATTCCCTCCCGCTGCCTCCTCAGCCACCGTCTGGCGAGCGGAGGGGCGGGGAGGAGGAGCCCTGGCTTGCGCTCACCCTTACAGCCGCCGTACTGACGCGCGGCCGCGGCCTCCTTCCCGCCCCCACCGCCGGACGGGCAAACGGGTGTCGCCAATCAGAGGCACGGAGCTCCGCGGGGACGCGGCCTTCTCCAGCCAATCCGGGCTCCGCCAGGCCCGCGCTCTATGCCCAGAGAGGGGTCAGCGCGCAGGGAGAGGAGCCGGAGTGTGGTGGTGATGGAGGAGAAGGGGTTCCCTCCTCGCCTCCAGTGAGACGTGCCTGCGGGGACGGGTGGCTCCTTTATTTACCATAGGGGTAATGCAAGACGGTGTTTTTAACCCTCTTCAGCCCTCCCCAGCTGCCGTGTCCTGGCTTTCTGCCCTGCTCCCAGGTCACACAGGGCAGCCGCTGGACGCTCTCATCCACCGCAGGGAGGGAACCGCCGCGCAGCCTGCTGGGCCTCGTAGTCTCGTGTACAGCCGGGGCGGGAAGAAGGTTCTTTGCTCCCGCCTCTTGTAACGAGTGACAACCGTTCTAGCCAACCGTATGCCCTGTTTTATGCTGATTGGCGGCAGCAGCTTCCAGTCATGAGCTCACTGTGGGTGGCGGGGCGCGGTGCTTGTGCTCGCCGGAGGGCGCCGAGGTGGGAGCGCGGCGGAAGTAACGGTTTGTCATGGCAACCGCGGAGCCGCGGAGTTGCCGGGGGGTTGTTGGTGCGTTGTCGTGGCCCCGGGGACTCTTTCCGCTGTAGAACCCGAAGCGAGGGAGGGTGGGTGTCCCGCTTGGGGTTAGTGTCGTCTCGGTAGGCGCTCAGGGTCTGCTGCGGAGACAGAGCCGGGCGCTGCTGGGGCGTTGGCTCTTTCCCTGTCGCCGAGCTGCTCTGCGGTGTGGTAAAGCACCGGAATAACGGTGGCTGTGTGGCCGGTAGCACTAAGGGAAGCGGGCGCAGCTCGGCGATTGCACTCGGGGAATCTCTGGATGCTGGGCCCGCAGCGCTCCGGGAACCAGGCGAAATGATCCAGCGCTGCCGAGCCTGGGGCCCCTTGCGGGGCAGGCGGGGGCTGTGCCGAGTCCCGGCTGCGGCGCTGCTCTCCTGAAAGGCGAGGTGCCAGGGGCCGTCTCCTCAACATTGAGCGTCCCCCGAAGTGCTAGTGCAGCAATGTAATGGCTGTGTGTTTTCCTGCTTCTCTGGTCTCTGCTTTTATTTTTCCTTTAACTTGGAGACATCTTCTTCTTACTTTGATTTTTGTTTTGTTTTTCTCTCCAGAAGGCTCTTGTTTGTTGAGGACAACACATGCCGACTTGGGAGAGGAGACCTAAACCCCAAGTTGTGATTTTTAGTGAAATTATACATAAAGGTCCTCATATTCCTGCTGATTATATTGCCTTTGCACTGCCTTTGTCTGAGCTAGTCAAATTATATGCCTTCCAGCCTGTGTGGCAACCAACTGATCTGCTGCGTTGGACCACTAATTGTTAAATCCTGTGTATCATTCATTGCCTTTTGCTGTAGATCCTCAGACCCTAAGATTTGCTGTATTATGGTCAACAATACTGATGTAACCTGTTGCATGTAACACCATATATTTTGCTTTGTCTGTTGATCTGGTTTAGATCTTACGTATTCGAAAGACTAATAGGTCCTGTGTTGCTTGCAAACAATCACTGTTCTGCTTATAAAGTAATATAAAGCTTTAGTAACCTGTTTGCCTTATAGATACCACATGTGTTACAATTTGGTTGCTGTATCTTTTTTCAGGTCACTATGAAGGCCTTGTATGGTCAGCAGAATTCACCTGGAGAGGAAATTACATTTGTCTTCCAGGAAAGAGTGAGTTTCGATCATAGTAGTGCTATTAATCATTCAGTAGAAGAAGAGAGCCTGGCTGAATACCACAAGGGAATTGTAACACCTAATTCTTCCGTAGAGTTAAAAAAGAACTGGTGTAATCTTTGCACACAGGCAAGTAAATGAAAGTAGGGGAGGTGTATTTTGCCATCATCATGTAGCACTTGGCAAGACCAGTGCTAGATTTCTTGCAGTGTTGCTGTCCATATTTTAAGAACAAGTTTTGCAGGTGTAACAAATGTACTCTGGCTCCATATAGTTTTCCATCTCCTGGTTGGATTTTCTGACCACTGAAAAAAATAGAATTATAGCTCCAGAAAAATTATTGTGTTTAGAGTGTTTCTACTGTTGCTTTCTTCTTGCGAGTGCTTTGCCTTTAGCAAGGATTGAGATCACAGTGCAGCCTTATTCTCAGAGGCATCAATAAGTCACTTTTGTCTAACCTACCTATTTTCCCACAACTTAAAGAGACAACAAGAAGGTAACTATTTTTCTGTCAAATTTAGCTGAAACTATTGTGCTAAGGGTCTTTGTCAGTTTGATGTAGCTATTAACTGGGCAAGTTTGTATACATCAGCTGTGGCATAAGCCTAAAATAGGATGTCAGTGAGTGTATATTGATGCATTGTGGGTGTCTGAACAGGAGAAAAAACTCTTACATGGTTTTGAGGGTGTGAATTTGTATTCTTTAATATAGGTACAAAAGAAATTGCTATAGATACCTATTTATACCTGTGTAATATAGATACCTAAATATACCTATGTATATTACCTGTGTGATATAGATACCTAAATATACCTATGAGCCATAGATGAAAATAAAACAATATAGCACTGGTGAGAATCTTGCTCGAGCAGTTTATAAAGTCCCAGTAGTGAAGCACATCTAATAAACTGCCTGAAGAGAAGGATGCAATTAGATGGGTAATTTTGATATAAACAAGGTGTATATTCATGGAGCAGTCTTCGATCTACTTTAATTATAGAATTGTCCTTTTGCTGAAAAAAAATTGTTAATCTTTTAGCAGCACATTTTTAGTCTCTTCCTTGTAATGGTTTTATGAGTCATGCAGCTGTAAGGTAAGATGGATCAGCTTACTTATCCAGGTACCTCGTACAAGTTCGTATCATTGTGGCTCCATGGTTGCTAGCTCCAACACAAAGAAGGGTATAGGAATGTGTAGATGTTGGCAACAAGTGAGCCAGGCAGCTCTGGTGTACAGTCTTTTGTAAGCTAAAGCAGACCCTGAAACTTCATTCATGGGCATAGACTTTGGCTGCCTACTTTTCTATTTAGATCTCTTCAGAGAGGAACTGATTCTGAGATTGTCTGTGTAATGACCAGCACTATGGAATCCTCATTGTAAATAGAAATAAATACTGACAAAAGCGAGAAATAAGAAAGCTAGTTGGCTGAGGAGACTTTAGAAGAACAGACGGTGGATAACAAAAAATCAGTATCTTGCATAAAGAACTTCCGTAGGAAACCTTCCTTATATGGGGCTTGGTTAATTGCTAAATTAACCAAGCACCATAAATTAAATAATGACATAGTTATGAAGGCAGGAGCCAGTTAACAGCACAGACATTACATTATCTCTTTTCGTTCTTAAGACTTGTATTCTTTTATAAAGAAAAGCAGTTTTATTATGAGCATTCTACCAAAAGCATAGGTCCGAAAGACAATATAACCTTATCTTTACATAAATTACACAAGTCCTTTAAATTCTAAGTTCTGGGAGGTTTTGGTCTGGGGCTTGGGGGGTGGGATTGTTGGTTTGGTTTTGTTTTTTTGGGTTTTGTTGTTGTTGTTGGGTTGGGTTGGGTTTTTTTGAGGGGTTTGGTGGGAGTTTTTTTTTTGTGGTTTTTTGTTTGGTTGTTGTTTTGGTGGTTTTTTTTTTACAAGATGCCGTATTTGTATAGTTCAACATTTTTTCTGTTGGCTTTTCTGCTTTGTGGAATGAAGAGCGAGAACCCATTTTGGTTTGTTTGAGAAGCAGGAGGTCAGTCTGGCAAAATGCCTTGCAGTTTTAAAGGAGCAGCATGTGTTTAACTCAGCTGGGGTGAGAAAAAGTTCAGCTCAGTATTCCTTGGATGGAGGTTACTGTTCATGTTGCTAAGCCTAGGAGAAAAGCAACAGCTGTTTCTTTGGAAGAGTTAAAAAAAAAAAAAAGAAATCGTAAACACTTAAGAATACATCTTAACTTCAGAAGCAGAAACAAAGCACTCTTGTGACTTTCTGGTGGTTTAACTGTTTAACTTCAACAGATGTCTACACTGCAGACTACAGTGTAACATGGAAATAACATGATTTTGCCTCCAGGACCTGAGGTAGCTCTTCAACAGCAGTATGGAGTCCTTAGTCCAGACCTCAACTTGGCTAATGAAATACTTTTAATTAGCAGTATTCAGCTACTTAAAATCATTTCAGATATTAATCCTCAAACCAAAAGTTGAAATACTTAGGGGAGGCTTCACTGGCAGAACACTTTTCTGTGTGTTCCAAACCCATGGCAGGGGGTTGGAACTGAATGACCTTTAAGGTCCCAACCAACCCAAACCATTCCATGATTCTGTGTACTCAAAATGGTGTGTAAATCCATTGTGATATAAGCTCTCTTTTAATTGAGAAAAAAAAAAAAAGGTAAATTCTTGTTCTGACTACAAAACAATCTAAAACAAAGACTCTGTGGAAAAGTGCTTTCAAGAGCTTGAGAAAATCCTACTAGCACATTCATGTTGCATTGTATAATATAACGTCTGTAAATTTGTCCTAGGAAAACCTTCCTCCTACAAGAGACAATGATGTGAAAGTACAAGTTAGAGCCTGTGCACTGAGCTGGATAGATACAAAGGTATTTGCTTATTTGTATTTTTTAAAAGCTAGAGGTGTTTATAGTTTCCGCTGAAGATCTAAGCCAGGGCCCTGGCTGGTAATGGGCACAATTCCATTTATGCCATCTGAGGATATGGCTTTACTGCTGAGAAGGAAGGCACAGGATTGATGTGGTATTCTTGCATATCTCTCTTGTATATCTCTCTAAATAAAAAGCACCTGTAATTTAGTTCCTAATTTATGGAGAAAGATCAGTTGTCATTTATGAGTTCTCTTACAGTAAATCCCTTTTATCATCCTCTGCATACTGACTTTAAGTCACAGTTTGGCTTGCCTGTTAATAACTCTCTGGGTTTATTTTTTTTTATGCTTCTAAATTTAAATTCAGAAACTCAGTGCAAAGGTTTTAATATTGAATGAGGAATGCGTGTACTTTCTTCCCCCAGGTAACATTTTGGTAATGGCCCAACTTCCTTACTGCGAATACCAGACACTGCAATATGGTAATAAACATGCAAATTTCAAGCCTTAGTAAGAATGTTGTAACCATTATTTTCATTTAGCTTTTATCAGAAATTAAACTGGAGAAGGAGCTTCTACCTGTTGGTCGAGAAATTTCTGGAGTTGTTTTGGAAGGTGAGTTTCTATAATTGCCTTGTGAGGGTATGGAGCAAGAATTAAGGTCTGGTAATCCAGAACAAATAAACATTGTTTGTATGATACTCCTGTAGCAGTAGGAACTTCATGCTTTCTTCATGAGGCTTCCCCCAAGTCAGTAATGATCCTTAAATGAAAGTAAGGGGAAAAAAAGGAACTGAATTGTAATTCCTGTGTATCAATTAAAAAATAAAAAAAAAAAAAGGAAAAAAGTGCATGGGAGCTTTCTAAATAAAACGTACAGAGATTTTAAGATCTCCCCTGCACATGCTGTAACAATCTTTAATTTATTTATAAAAATCATTCCTTGGAATAGTGAAGACAAAGTAACATTCAGGAATTTCTGCAGTGTTTCACTGGCATAGCCACCTTTGATGTGTAGTTTAAAGCCTGGATCTTTCAAAAACATGTACGAGTGTGTGCTTGCATGTAACTGTTTGTGGATGGGGTGCCAGACTTTAATGAATTAAACATTTGGGTTTGGTATGTGTGTCTTTAATAGGAAAAAATATCACTAGCAGGGTATACTTTTAGGTTTGTGAGCTAGTGATAAACAGTGATTTCAAATGCATGTTCAGTTTCATCTATAAACATTTCTCTTCATGCCTTCCTTCCTCCTTTCGTATATTCTTCATGAGTTGGAAGAAAGGTGACCTTTTTTCAGCCCGATGATGAAGTGGTAGGTAAGTTAATGCTTTTTTGCCTTATCAACTAGCTCAGTAATCTTTTTATAATGAATGGCTGAGGTTATAATCATTCTAAAGCTACAATTAGACACATAGTTTCAAAAATTCAACTAGTGTCACATGAATAAACTCTTCTAAATGAGAATTCTATTCTAAAAGTGTTCTCTTAAGGAAGCTTTTTAGTTATAAGACTGAAAGTTCAGGTCCATGGCTAATGCAGTCTGTCATGGTCCTACTTCAGTCACCAGTAATACAAACAATAATGCAAAGTCCAGACTTGTATTGCCTGGCTTCTTAAGAATGATATAAAAATACAATTTGAACTTCAAATGATGAATCTTTTCTTCAAGTGTACTGAAGACTGTTCAGTTTCTTCTAAGTCATGTCAATTCCTGTTTGAATAAAGAAATAAGAGAGTGGTCTTAGCTTAAACATGCAAGTAGGTTCACCAGTTCTGCTGGATTTTCTGAGTTGCCAAAAGCAATGAACATACTCAGGACCACATTTAAAAAGAAGCACTGATTCAAGCTGCTCATTTTCCAGACCCTTCATTTTTACTGCTTGGTGGAGTTCTACAAAGCAGAATTGTTTCTCCTCTAACTTAACCACAGGGGACCAGTGCTTTTATGATCCTGCTATGACATTATTGTCAGAGAAGCCCATCAGAAAGGCAAATGGTAGTTGCTGTACTTTTTTTTGTTTGTTGTTTGAACAAACTTCCAGGTAAAAAATCAGACCAAAAGTTTTTAGGGCTTTCCTTTTCCTGGTCAGAATTTTGCAGGCCCTTCACATCATTAGCTTAAATCTAATGGAATAAGATGTGTGGTTGTTACTATTTATTCACTAAAAAAAGGTATAATCCTTACACTTGGGAATTAATATTCCATTTATGATATACAGAAGAGGCTTTGCTTTATATAATGAAGTAGAACAGTTATGGCAAGGCATTTTCTAGTCTTGCATATGAATTAACTTTGAACTATGAATAGTATCATTATCGTGAACATTATTGCTCATTTGGTTAAATATCTCACTGAGATATGCTGCATCTGTTGAATATTTTTAAATAGTATTTATGTTTCAATCACCTTCTGTTGCAGCTGAAGGAATATAGTTTCAGTAAGTAATGAGGGAAAAAAAAGAAACCTTCTGAAAATATAACTGTGGACCAGAGAGGTCATAAGTGACATCCAAAGTGGCTGTTGGGCTTTTTTGTGATTTAGAACTTTTTTCCATTCTTGTTAGTTCAAATATAGAATAAGCAGTTTGAATCAGCTGAGCTACTTTAGACTGAATCTCACCTTAAGAGACTAGCATATCTACTTGGGTCATGAAAGAAGCAGATTCATTTTGCCTGAGACTTCTGTTGTCTGTGTTTTTTATTCTTAAATACCAAATGCTTGTGAATGCAGGTACAGAAAAGTCAGAATTACACATAGGGAAATAAGAAGATGAAGAAAAAAGCATTATGTATTTTTAGCCCTAAAAAGAAAGAAAACCCACTTCTTTAAATACTGAAATCTCATGGCATTTACTTTCAAACAGCTATTCAACCTTATGAATCCAGTATAGACAAAAAATAGGAGTGAAACATTTCTATTATGGTAAATCTTTCCTTAATGAGCACACTTCCCGGGTACTATTGCTCTGAGTTTATTTGTAGTTTATGAGTGAGCAGATCTAAAAGAAAATGAGTTATTGCCAAATGGTCTGCTTAGCTGTGTGTTTAATAAAGTGAAACAGTCCCAGAATACCCAATTGTCAGGAAAGTATTTCTACTTGAATTTTGCAAAAAAAGCCTGTCCTTTTATCAAAGGGTATAGTCCTGGTATATACTCCTTACTGAGTTTAACAGTAATAATATGGTAATATGGTTCTTATTTATGAATCTCTTCTTTTTTTGTGTGTAACAGTAGTTCTGTGCTCACTGGAGTTTCCTGGTGTATTAAATCTATTCCTAAAATCAAACCAGGATTGTTTCTCACTTTCAAAGGTTTTCTGATCCTTCTTTAATTTTCCAGAGATTTCTTTGCTTATGTAATGTATTCTCTTATACATAATCATTTGTTTGGTTAAAAAAAATGCAGTAGTAAAACCTCGGACCAGCCAAAAATCTTTTGTTTTGAGATAAATTCTTGACTTCCTTTCGAAGTTGCAGTCAGTTTTCTTTGTTGTTCTGAGAATCTTTTAGCAATCAATTCTGCCATTTTCCTCATTAAAATAAGTGTAGGCAAGAATGTTCTGAGGGTTAAATTGGCTACAAATACTTGGAGACATGAACCTAAATATAAACATACCTACTTAGATTTGCTGGTGGCTAGCCACTTGCTTATCAGTTCTTCCAGATGCCTCATTCTTGAATACATAAATAATCAATGCATGAAAGCCCTACACTCTGTGGAGTATTTCTGGCAGGTAAGGTGAAAAATCTAATTTTGCATTTGTGCAAATGCTTGATGCATGTAACATGTAAGTTGGAGCTTCTGTAAGCACCGAGAGGACAGTTCGTAAGATGTCCTGTCTTTCCCTTATTACTGGGGTCATGTTTTTGTGAATGGTTTTAGAGACCCTGAAATCAATGTGAGTTTATAGCAACGTATAATGACTCCTTGGAGGCTGTCTTGAGTGTTAGGAGCTAATGTGACTTGTTCCTGAACTTTTGCGTCTGTCAAGAAAAGGAATCACTTCATGGATTATTCATTCTGATTTGCTTTTTCTATAGTAAGATGTTAGAATGTAAACTAGTTTAGGTGCCAAGGCTACTTTAGTATTCTATAAGGAAATTTTTCTTAACATTTGAAATATGATATTGTATTAACCATCAAAAACTGAATGATGCTTTAGGATAGAAAAGGTATTTCTTAAGACATTCTTTCACAGGTTTATATTTTGTATGCTAAATTGAAGGATTAGAGAATGACCTAAGTTATGAAAGTAAGACAGAATCAATAGTGTTGTTGTAAGAACGTATGTTCTGTTCTGAGATTCTTGCCCTTCTTGCATTATTTCCTAATTGCACAATAGCTGATATAGATAGCTACTTTAGACTTGATATTACTTTTATTCTATAGATAAACCCTTGAGAGATCAGCAGATGTATACAAGCACTGTAGGGTAACCATTTTTAATGGCAATTGTGAAAGCCTGGAAACGGCCAGATTTGCTGAGGATTTTATGCCAAAGTCCTTACTTTGATCTAAATGGAGTGTAAGAAGAGGAAAGAAAATACTGGTTTTACCGAGGATACAGGGTACGTGTATTTCAGAAGACTGAATGAATGCCAGAACCTACTGTTAATGAATCTCCTCCTTTTCCAGTGCAGGATAAAAGCATTTATGACCAGGATGGATTTCTTTATTTATTATTTTTTTTCTTTCAGTTCCTCTTTTCTATTCCAGCTTTTTAAAACTTACACTCATGCATTCTTGCTTGTTCTTTCTCTGCTTCTTTCTGTCCCTTTTTTGCTGCCTTTGCTAACAACACATGTGCAGGCACCAGGATGGAAGTGTAGAGGTATCTGCAATGTGGCTTGGTTGGTGCCTGTCTGCAATACAGAGCTTGGTTTCATTCTTTGTCGGCCATGGCCCAGAGCAAAAATAGGAGCACTCATCAGAGTGAGAGCAGTGGGAAGTGGGTTCAGACATGACTTGACAAAAATGAAGCATGCCAGAAGCAAAAAGCACTGAGTAGTGTCCCCATTCTTTCTCTTCCCAAATCCAAAATGCTGCTTGGAGCACCTTTGGAACCATCTTGTGCACTGCACCCATGGAGATGATAGCCTATTACCTAGCCAAGTTTTCTTAACCTGTCATAAAACCTGACAGGAGGGCAACAGAACCACAGCCCAAGGAGGACTGGCAGTTTCATTCGGAGCCTGTTTTGGTTATAATGTATGCTTATTTGAAATTTAAGGTCTATGTTCTTTTTTTTTGTTTGTTTGTTTGTTTTTTTCCCAGGAATTTTGCCCTTAGATTCTGAAGAGTCTGGTCTTTGTGAAGTTATTCTAGTTCATGAGCATTATTTGGGTAAGTAGTTCATATATCTTGCCAATATTTATATTTGCTGTATCTTTAAAGTTCAGTTTAGCTTTTCTAATAGGGAGTTAATTAAGTTTGAGCTATGGGCAAAGTTGTTCTGTATAGCAACATTCAGACATTGTGTCTACTCCACCTTTTCATAGAAACTTTGTATACTATGTACTCTCAAGGGATTTTTCTTTGCTGTTGAGATTGAATGGGTTAATGTTTTGCCTTAAGCCAAACCACACAAGCTGCCTTTTTTTTTGTTTTAACTCCCTTGTAACTTCCCTTTTTGTTGCTCCATTGTCTTTCTGCTTTTTCTTCACCTCATCTGTCACAAAATTAAGTAAGGAGACATTTGCTTTTTTCCTCACTTTGACCCAGTCAGGAATATCAGTTGTGACTGGACTAAAAGATGGGATAAGATTAGCTGACTAGAAGGTGGAGAAAGGAATTTTCAGGGACTGAGCATCAGGGAAATCCTAGGATTGAAACACTTTTTTCAATTATTGTGAATTTCCAGTTTCCCATTTCTGGGCATAAAGTGCTTTAATGTGTAGGATACTAAATCTGGGAATCTCTGTGCTTTTCCCAGCGGTTTGTTGTGTTGCTTTGAACAAGCTAGTCTTTAGCTCAGATTAGTTTATATTGTTTCCGTGCCTGTCCATGAATTCAACCTGTGTAATTAAAGGTGACTCCTCTGAATTTGTTTATGCCAAATCAGAATCCCTACAGTAAAACTGCATAAAATATGGTAAAATATCCTCTCCATGTTTTTTTTAACATATATATGAGAGGTAAAGAGGTATTATTTATGTTGGCTTGTTTGAAGATGAAATCCTCCTGACTGGCTATTGGCAGCTTCTGCAAAATAATCATGGACTTACGAAGATGGAAAAAAAACAAGGTTTACTCTTGATAACGCTTAAAAGTACAAATCAAGCAAAATGAAATCTAGAGGTCTGTGCTGCCTTATCTATAGGCACAGTAACTATAGGCAGAAAATATTTAAGATTTTGTATTACCTGCAGTAGTTTACTTCATGCTAAATAGGATGAACTGGCACAAATAGTGATGATGCTGGTGATGAGCCCTAGAATTCTTTTCCAGCACAGATAAATGATCCCAGGTGATCACATTGCTCATGTTGTTTTATAGCTTCCCTGATTCACGCTACCCTGTCAATTCCTATGCTTAAAGCGACAGACCAAACCTTTCCACTATTTTCTTTGTCGTGTCCTTCAAGAGGACTGAGCTTACTTAGTTCAGTTCTGTGCCAGACTGTCAGCTGGGCTATGATGATTTCTAGCTTAGCATTAAAGTCTTTGCTAAATCATTTAAATTGCTTACATGGGAAACGGTGTTTGAACTTGTGATTTCTATTTAATAGAGTACTTCATTAACATTACCTTCCTTCTAAGCATATTGATAGAATAGGAAAATTCTGAAGCATCTTGTAGGTAGAGACAGCAGAAAGCAGAGATGAAAAATAATGTTATATTGACCTTTATCTCTCTTAAAATATGTTCCAACCTGCATAAGCTCTTTGTACCAATGGATTATGAAGTAGATTGTAACCTATAGAGAATGAGAATTAGGAACTCGTGGATTGGAACTTGCATTGTAAGTTTTCACAAAAATAACTCTGACACAGAAAAAAGAGCTCCTCAGATCACTTCTATCAGGAGGTTATAGGAGGAGGTACACATCTGTCTTTGTTTAAGTACTGCGCTTGTATCTGAACTTGTTCGCGTGAGTGCTGCAAAAGCAAACTGATTATTCATGGAATAATAATTGCCTTTTTCCACTTTGACTCTGTTTAGCTGACCTAAGACTGCCGTGAGCCACAATATCGGAATATTGCCTTTGTGAACTAATCATAATTACACCTGTAGATGATTTGACTTGTATAATTTTCTTTCATGTTTTAGAAATTGATGAAGTCTGAAAAATAACTGAGTGAAACATCAGGGACTTGCTGCTTTTTTTTTCCCCCATCTGTTTTTTGTTTGTTTTTTCCCAAACTTAGTTCGTAAACCAGAAAAAGTTTGTTGGGTTGAAGCAGCCGGGACTGTCCGTGATGGTGTCCGAGCATACACAGCTTTACACTACCTTTCTCAAGTCTCTCCTGGAAAAACTGTACTTGTAATGGATGGAGCAAGTGTAGGTAACAACTGTGCAATAATAACAATTTCAGAACAGAAAGATTACCTCTGCTGTAAATAACTGCCTTATCACCAGAACAATTGGATTTCTTACAACATACTAAACTTATCAAGCCTTATATGTTACTCTTGGCTGCACCCTTAATGGATTAATAGGAAGGGCCCTCCCACAGAAGGTAATGAGCCAAGACTATAGTCCTTTACAAGTTGTGTGGGTAGTGAGGAGAGGTAACTCTTTCCTGGTGTTTTATATTGACATAGTTTTACCTTAGGCCTTTAGGTATAACTGGAGGAAAGTGCTTTTATTTTTTTATTCCTTTCCCACCGCTTTTTAACTTTTCTTAAATAATTTCCTTTGCATTACTGTAGTCTTTATTGCTAATGAAGATGGGGAGCTTGCCTCAGCCAAGATTCAATAATATAAAAGTGTCTGGGGCTTTTTCCTTGGTAGCACTTCTTCCTTCAACAAGCAAGCAAGCCCAAAGCTACAAGTTACAATTGCAGCTATGATACCTGTGTTAGTTAAAGCAGAACCTGCGATACTATGTTGAAGAAGAGTAGTAGTTACTGAAAGTTTGTTCAGAGCTTTCTAGTCAATGAGAAGACTTTTTTTTTTTTTGCTTCATTTGGAACAGAAGCAGATCTATGAATATTCAAAACCTTGGCTTAGATGTGTTTTATTAAAAGAGTAAGTTCATTTTGAGATACTCTTCTGAATGTTCTTTGCAGTATAATCTTTCTTAAATGGTATCAAATTGTTGCTGTAAACAAATTCATCTGCTTTTTTTGCTCTGCAGCCATTCGGTACAATAGCTATTCAGTTAGCACAACACAGAGGAGCTAAAGTAATCTCTACTGCATACAGTCTTGAAGATAAGCAGCACCTGGAGAGGCTCAGACCTCCTGTGGGTAAGTTATATTCTTCAGTCCTAAAATTTATGCTGAAGAATGTCTCAAAATACTTTTTTTTAGTCTAGAGACTTATTTCAAGTAGCTGCAAACTGAAACACAAAATTATAAATAGTCTAATGAAATAGTTTTAAAATTTATTCTGTACTCCATAGGTATTTAATTTCTGGTTTAGGTGAATTTAATGGCATTTTTATTCTTCACTTAAATTGTAATGACAGTATCTTCTTATTTTCTATAGTGCTTGAGTGCTGCATTTTGGCCTAACTACTCCAGAGGTCTTTTTATAAACTGTTTGCTTGTGAACAAGAAGAAAGCATTACTAAAGCACCAGTATCACACTATGTAATCTAGGTACCTGAGCCAGAGTTCAGATGCAATCACATACCTGAGATACAGTATTCATCAGACTCAGATTACTTCTGATAGTATTTTACCAAGCTGTGTGGCAGCTCTGTTTCAAGTACTGTCATAACAGTAGCTGTTATGACAGGATAGTCAAAGTCTCTGCATTTTCCTATGTCCTAAATGAACTTTGTTTTAGACATTAATACTTGCATTCATCTATGACTTTTTCCATTTCTTCTCTTTGATACTTAAGTTTGAAGGAGAAGGGTGGTGTCCCTGAAAGTAACAGTGCTATTTGGACTATACGAAGCTACTAACATCCTTCCTGAACAGACCTTTTCCTATTTCGATGCTGCAGAGTGGAGGAAAGTAGAGTATTTCTTTATTCAGACAGTTTAAAGGATGGCATTGCAAAGTCCAGTTTGATTGCAGTCCATGAACTTTCCTGTAGAAGTTTAAAACCACTGTCTGTTATTGCCTCCTCAAAATGCAAAGACTGTCACAGTATAATTGCCAAGTTTATTTTTCAGTGTATGATTTTTGTTACCATTGAAAGAGGCATATGTAAAGAGTAGCTGCGTCTCTTGTAAGAGCATTTTCTGAGGGAAAGCATTCTGTAGTCAGTTATCACATCAACATACATTACAGTTGCAGCAATAAAAATATGGGTTAAGGAGTGATCTGATTAAAAAGTTAATATCAAGATTAGCTGTCCCTCATTCTGACTCCTTTCTCCTTTGGTTGGTTTGTGTTTTTTTTTTTCACTTAATATTGTCAGCAATCTTTGCTTTCCAAGTGGAGAATTAGAGCTGTTTTCAAATCTCCTCTCTTCTTAGTGACTCACTAAAATGAGGCATTGCTGATATGCAGGTGCACATAGTATTGTCCTTGTGTTCTCCCTTGCTGGCTCAAGAATAGTAAGCTAACAGAGGGATGAAATAAGCCAGAGAGCTGCTCTTTAGACACAGAGAGAACAGAGTTCTTGTCAATTTCAATTCCTTGCTGGCTCCCAAGAACAGAACTGGCAGTGGAAGCACAGAGACAACACAGTGTGCAAATGCATTCTGGGGCTGCACGTTCACACACATCTGCAGTGTTGGGGAGTGATTCACTTCCAGCCTACCAAGTGTGTATTTAGCTCTTCCAGTAGTGGCTTTGGTGTGCTGATAATGCAGCAGGAAGTGGAGTGCTGTGCAGAGGTTATTACACAAGAGCAGGAAAGACATTTTTGCTGTCTGACCTTAGCAGTTTTCAATAGGGAACTGCAAAGTTTTGTGCTGGGGATGTCATAATTTCCTCTAAGACCCGGCAGACTTATTTCTCTACATTTTTCTATAGCATCTGAAAAGCTAGTTTTTCCTTTTCTTATCTCAGAATTCTTTTTTACTGTACTAGTAGACATTATAGACATCAGAACATAATGCATTTTTGTGAATGCTGCTATTATGTAGAGGTTTGTTATGCCAACTGTTTCAGGGTGAAAGAGTAAATACAAAAGACCTAAAACTTTGCTTTCTAATAATTTAGGGTTGTATCTTGCTAATGATATGAAAACTTTATTAGTTAAGAAAGGAGTTTGCAATTTTATTATCATAATCCTGTCAGTACATATGAATATGACTTTGGGTTGCTTGGCATACTTACTTTTTGCTGGCGTTTTTAAGTTCTGTGAATCTTAAGACAAAATAAATGCTCTAAGTAACCCAAGCATAGCTAGCTGAATCTAAGCTGGCTTCTAATGCCTGCCTGCGTGTGGAGGATTTTTTAGTTTTGTGCTTGTTTAGTGTTGGGTTCTTTGTTTAAGAAACTCTTTCTAAAAGAGTTTGTCAGTTGTCAATGAGCAGCAGTTTGAGTTATCAGTGTATAGCATAACCAGCTGCTTCATAAAATGGCTGAAATAACCATCTCTTGCAGTGAAAAGGCCATCACTTACATTGCTTATGTACGTGCTTGCACTATAGAAGTTTCATTTAGCAGTTTTCCAAATGTTTGTGGAACATAAACATTAGGGAAAAAATGTTAATTTTATCTTTACTCCAAATAAAGAGATATAACCTGATTACAACATTAAAAGGAGAAACAGTTTGAGTGTGCAAGCAAAAAGCCACTCACTATTCTTGCACTTCAGGGTTTTTTGTTTTGGGTTTTGTGTTTTAATAAATATGATTCCAGTGCCTGAATTAGAAGTTCCTGTTAGTGTTTAAGGATTTTATATTTAGGCCAACAGGGTGGGGTCCTTACATCTCTCCAGTAATCTCTGGAGTAAATATAATAACAGTATGAAGGAGGGGATTACAACCAGTTTTGAACTTTTAATGCCCACGTTTCAGACTAGAGACAGAACGTTACAAAATAATATGATGAGTTTCTGTTAGAAAACAGAAGAAAAAAAATATATAGATAGATACACACACACACATCTATTTCTTCTGTTCCCTAGGTCACCTTTTTTTTTTTTTTTATTTGTTTTTTTTTATTTGTTTTTTTTTTTTTTGTTTGGTTGCTTGGTTTGGGTTTTCTTTTTTTTTCTTTAAAACCATTACTGAGCTTTCAGTGGATACATTTCTGGTAAGAACTCCTTAGTGATTCCATGGCTTGAGCCTGTTCAGCAAACAAAATAGCAAATCTTAAATCTTTTGTGTGACAGTTTTTAAACTCTGTAGCTGAAATTACTGTGTGAGAGTGCACACTGGTAGCACGTTGGGGAAATACTGATATTGCTACTTCTCACCAACAGTGAAAGAGGAGAGAAACTGAAGCCTTTTTGCTGGTCAGAATAATGTTACTTTAAAAGTTGTGCAAGAAGAAACTGAACTGATTTTAAAATTCTTTGCAAGAAATTTTGCATAAGTGACAAAGGATTATAGAAAATTAGATTATAATTTATTGCTCAGCCTTTTCCATAGTGGAGAGGGATTATTACAGCCTTTTGCTAGGAAGGAAATTGAACAGGATTTTGATGAATACAGTTTAAATTACTGTATTGACTCAAATAACAAAACTGAAAATCTTTGCTAAGCAGAAATCAGGAAATAGTCAAACTGATTAAACTGTTGCCTTCTAGTTTGATAGTCAGGCTTTGAGTCTGTAAATCAGAATTATTCTCAGAAAGTAAAATTAGTTGCAGAAACCTTTTACCATGTCAAATTGCCGTGTTAAGAAAAGCTTTTTAACCTCTTGACTGAGAAACTAATAAGAAAATGATATTGTGGGGTTTTATTTGCATACAGGAAATGTGACTATCATTACTAAATTAATGTGACATCTTATGACCATGTCTGTTCTCCTTAGCCACATAGTTTGACTTCAGTGAAAAACCTGGATGATTGACCTAAAAATCTGAAAGCATCTTATGATTTGTTTGGAAGGGGGATTAAAAACAAACCCCAAAGCATTAAGAAGAATATTTGTTAATATTCTTCTTAATGACTTGTTTCTCACCGTTTTTCTTCTCTTGTTCCTTCCCACCCTTTTGATTAAATTCAAGAAGGTGTACGGCAGCCTTTAGTGGGTAAGTAAAGATTGCAAATTTGAGTTTAATTTATTGTGCCTTGGAAATGAGCTTCCAAATTTGACATTGTTTCAGTTATCATTTTGCTAAGATGTGTTTGGTCTGTTTAGTTTCTAAATGTTTGGTTTACCTTATAATTATAAACCAAAACTAAAGACCTAAGAACCTTATCTGCTTCTTCTCTGCCCTAGTTATTCCTGATTCCATGGTTTATCTTTACAACCATCTATAAATATGGTATCACAGATATATGAGAAGAAAATGTATTAGTGACTTTCAGTTCAGAAATATTTCAAGAAGAGATGTAAATACTTTTATCTAAATATTTATGACCCAGGGGGCTATTTAGAGGTTAAAAATATCTTGCACAAAGTAATACATTAATGAGCTTATCCATGCTGTGAGATAAATAATGAGGTTACTAAGCATTATTTTAAAGAAAAGATGGATATAATAAGAATAAAAGACTTGCTGGAATCGTAAGAAACATCAAGTCGTTGCCTCACAAGTGACTGAATTGCTTTTGCTTTTACATGTTTACTTCTGACTTGCACTGTGAGACAGGGCTCCATGCGAGAGAGGATAGGTTTTTGTTTTCCCTCTGCGATATGGAAACAAGAGAAGAGCTCTGCGAGGGATGAGCAGGAAGTGGTGGGGTTTATGGAGATTAAGGGAAGAAAACAATGATTGGAAAGCTCTTCCAAAGCATTACTGCTATGGTTATTTGATAGAAAATTTGAAAGCTGGGAGATGTGAAATAAGGTCCCTCCTTATCTTTTGGCCACTCTTTTTCTTCAATAACATGGCTAGTCACTCCAGAACTTGCTATTTTTGAAGGTGCTTTTGGGAAAAAATAGCAAATAATGAACTTACAGAAGTATTTCCAATTCTTGTTATGGCATACTTTATTTTTTTTGGCCTAAACAGATTTGTGAGTTTGATTTCTGCATTAAGCTAATAGCTATTTAGGGTTTTTTTGACTTGGCTGCAAACTTGCTTGTAATACTTTCAGTAACTAGAAACTTTGTTCTGCTCTGAATCTAAACTCTGCATTTTTATTGTAGTTAACCAAATGTGCTGCTCTTTCTAGCTCGTGTGATAGATGTGTCAAATGGCAAGATTGATGTGGCAGAGAGCTGCTTGGAAGAGACGGGTGGCCTGGGAGTGGATATTGTTCTGGATGCTGGAGGTATGCAACGGATGAAAAACTGGTCTTCAGAGCACTATTAGGTGGTAGTGGTGGTAATAGTAGTAGAATTTCCAGGTAATATAGGTGGAGGCTGCATCACCTCAAACGATTACATTTACTTGTTCCCATGCAATTTCATGTACATATCTTTATTCAATAGGTTTGCTTAAGCACAATCTCCTTAAGATCTCCTCATACCACCCTCTAGAGGAAGTGTCTGATACTGTCAGTCATCTGCTAAATTTCTCTGAATTTTTCCTATAATTAAAACTGAAAAGGAAAAAAATGTGTTTAAAGAGTAGAGCTGTGACATCATTGTTTATGCTACCTTATTTTAATACAAATATTACGCCATAGTCACCAGTACTGTCAACCTGTATTCTAAAGCAGCCATCACATTTGAAATTTCTTGTTACTATTTTTAGCTGAAATAATTGAAGAACTTCTTAGAGTTCCACTGAAATGTGTTAAAATAAATATATATTGAATTTCCTAAATCGTCTACTTTCTCAGATATTCTCATGTGACTAGCAGCATAATCTATTTGTAGTGGTGTTCCAGACAGGTGTCTTTCATTGGGTGTATTTATGTGCATATATTCCATCTCTTTTGTATCTGAAGACACAGGATTGTAAAGAATCCCAAGATAATGTGTTTTTAAGTACAGGAAGAGATGGCTGTTTCATTCTGAACCGAATTTTCTTCTGAGCTGAAATAAATTTTGTTCTTTCCCTCCTCCCCAGTGAAATTATATAGTGCTGAAGATGAATCAACTTCAAAATCACAGTTGCTGCCTCATAAGCATGATATCATAACTCTTCTTGGTATAGGGGGACACTGGATTACAACAGAAAAAAATCTTCAGGTAAAGATACTGTATCAGAAAGTTAGTTTGTACCACAGTACATCCATGGATGTGTCTGTGAGCTTTGGTCATGGCCGAGTGGTTTCTCACTGGTAACACTATCACTTTTCACTGAAGAAAATTTTCACATCCAGAAAATGGGAAGTAGACAGCACTAATAACATTTTTTATTTTCCTTTAGGACAGTTTCGGGGTTGTCTTCTCTGAGGTGATAGTAAGCGATGTTAATGGCTTAGCTGTACTGACAAATTTTAAAGGACCTATTTTGTTTGGCTGAGTGTATTAAACTGCTTGACAAGACAGAAAAGTATCATTTAAAGCTGTAAATATCACAAGTTTGCTAAGTTTTAAGTATGGGCAAAGGGTGGTTTGTGGGCTTTTTTTAACCATCTGCATAAAATAACTATTTATCCTCTATTTTTATATAGGAAAACATAACTAAATAACATTGTTCTTCAATTTGTTATAGCTGGATCCTCCAGACAGCCATTCCTTGTTTCTTAAAGGAGCCACTGTCTCCTTTCTGAATGATGAGATATGGAACTTGTCCAATGTACAGCAAGGGAAGTATCTCTATATCCTTTCGATGGTCCTTTTGAATACTGACTGCTGATACAAGTGGATGGAAATACAACTGAGAAACCAACTAACAGATTTTCTTCTACTCAGTCACATAAGGACAGACATAAAAGTTCAGCACAGTTAAGCTTAGAGTGTAACTGAAATGTAACATTCCCTCATGTTTAAGCTAGCCTCTGCATTCCTTCTGTGTCTCCACATGCTCTGTTAAAAGCAGTGCTGAAATAGAAAACATGCATCCTGGAGAAAATGCAGTATTTTGGTTTAAGATTGACCCCGTTAGTTTAAGATTTGATTCTATAAGTTTTTATATTATGCATATGATATTTTTGATTTTAATTTTTTTGTTCTTTTGGGCAGTAAATGCATCATCCATAAATCTGAATGCAATCAGTTTAACTGTAAAAGTTAAAATATTTTGTTTTCATAACCTTTTCCTTATTTGTAATGTTATGTACATAAAATTTATTGAGCAAAGATGTGGGTGTGGGCAGAGGAATGCCTCCTTCATTTGCATTATGCATTACCTACATTTGGTCTTAGCAGCTGGACTCTGAGCTTTCTACTGGCACGATAGTTTTCAGTGGATCACTTCAAGTACTGGGAGGTTTTTTTCTGTTTATGGCTTTAAGGACCCTCCCTGTTCTTTACTGCACTGCAGACTGAGATCTGCTGAATCACTTTTGCAGTTTAGCAGAACGGCAGAGGCAGGTGAGGATTAAGTCATCATATTTGTGAAACAGCTAACTGTACTGCAAGGAGGTCCTCCCTTCTCCACTAAACTGCAAAGTTGCTTAGGCAAGGTCAGGCACACTAAGTAAATGCTTATAGGATGCAGGTTATCAAGAATCAATTTATCGTTTGGTATTTTTGTTGAACACTTACTGAGTAGTTATCCACATAAGAAGTAAGCTGACTAAACAGTAATATTTCTTCTGTCGTCTCCTGGGGTATCTTTAATAACAACAGCACATTTTATCACAACAGGCTTTAAAGTTGAAAGGAAAAATCTGGTTTAGGTTTGGGTTTTTTTTTGGATCTGTGTATCTTGTGAAATTCTTGAGCATATGGCATTAATAACATCTGAAGAAAACACAAGGTGATTGCTTTTTAAAATAACTTGAGCTTCAAATATTAACCAGATTGCTCTAAAAATGAACCAAGGGACATTAATTTTTGAGTTTCATATAAAGACTAAATACAGCCTCATCTGCTGCTTTGCCATGAATGGTAGTCATTAACTCGGAGATCCCTTACAGATGCACAGTGCTGCTCCATGAATTTACAGACTCACTGTGTTCCAAACTTTCTTTTGATTTTCACCTCAGATGTCTGTATGATGAGTAGGGATAGTTAATTGGTACCAAAGTCTGTCCTCTTCATTCTACACAAAACCCACAGCTGCCATTCTGATTGACGAACTTTGAACTAGTGTGGCCTGCATTTGTCAGTCTTCACACTTTTGCCTTATTTTTTTAAATTTTACTTTCCATATTTCATTTCTGTATACTATTTCAGGAAAGGAGGCTTATGATATATAAGCAAGTGCATAAAGGTGATCTAAAGATTGGCATTAAGGTTAACTTTCATTTTTGCCTTGATCCTGCTGGTTTTGTATCAGTACAGGGCTCTTGCCAGCACACATGATTATGGAAAGATTTATCTGTAGATACGCTGTTACCTTGACAGTCCTCTTAGCTACCCATCTTAGAAGATATAATGGAGAAATTATCAAGTAGCATTTTCAGGTGAGATGTGATTTGATTTTTTTTTTATTATTTTCTTCTTTTAATGAAATTCAGCATTAGAGTAGATAACTCTTGCCAGCACTGTACTGCAAATTTATAGGGGGATACTCAGGAAAAGATGCCTCACATAGTTTATATGGAGCAGTTTATGGTCTATTTCTGTTAGTAATACAGCAAGCTAATGCACAAGGAGGTTGGGTAAATCCCATGATTAGGCTATATGTCAAAATTTAACAAAGGCAGCATATTCTTTTCTTGGTGGAGGAAGAGCACGTATCTAGCTGCTCAGCAACATGTCTGACTGAGAAATGGTTTTGGCTGTAGAAGATGATGGGTCTAATACTCTTCTAAGAAGAGTAACAGCTTCACTATGTATGAAGACTCCCATAATAAAGTAGGAATGGAAGATTCTTTACCTCTATACAGTCTGACTGTATTGCTGTTGAGCAAAAGCCTCTCCACCACCACCTATTTTTTACCCCTTAAGAAGGATATCTTTTCATTAACTTTTCTGTTTGCTTTTGGGTTCTTCCCTTCTTTACTGAACCCAAGCAAAGCTATAAAACTTTTATTTTGTTTAAGGAGTAAAGTTTACATAGTGAAAGTAAAGTCTATAGCAGTAGTCCTGCAATATTTCTGTTGATCTAAGCATGCTCACCAGGCACTTCTGACATGTTGTTCCACTTTAGGCCTCAGCTGGATGAACCGATCCCATTGTATGAAGCCAAAGTTTCTATGGAAATAGTTCAAAAGAATCAAGCAAGAAAAAGACAAGTCATCCAGTTCTGACACACACAATTTCCTGAATTCTGAGCCTGTGGAAGATAAAGAAACGTAATGTATTTGAGAAGTAAATTTGTGTACACTTTCAAATAATTCTGTATCTGGAATTTAGATCTTTTGTCCTGAGACTCCTGTGACTTTAGAGCTTGGGGGGGGGGGGGGGGGGGGTGTCATTAACTTGAGTGGAATGTTCCCATCAGCAAATTCTGAAGAGGCTGTCTTGACATACAAATCTTGTCTGCCCTGCCCCAATTACAAATGTCAGTAATATCTACAGGCAAACTCAGTTACTGTTGTTTTTCAAACATAAGAAATGAAAGGGAAAAAAAAATCTGGTGAGATATATTTGTCCTCCCGTCTCCAGCCTCTACTAATAGTCACCTTTATATTTACCTTTCTCTTTTGACTGCATTGAGACTGAGCACTTTCTGTGGTACACTTAGTCTTTAATCCACATTTAGAATTGTTATTTAATTGAAAGACAGGCAAAACCATTAGAATTGGCAAAGGATGCTTGAGGGGGAAGGATATGGTACTGACAGTAAGAGTTCCCCCCACAGATGATTTTCTTCATTTTAGCAACCAGGGAGTAAGCCCCGTAAATCCAGAGTCCATAAGCTGAAACGATTGTGCCATTCAGATGTTTGAGGCACTTTATGTATCCAGCCAGAGTAATGTTATCTTTGATATCTTTCCATTAAGACCTTCCTATGCTGTACACTTTTACTTTCCCTCTTTTAATCTCTTTCCTATGCCTACCATTCCAATGCCTCAGATCTGTTTATCCAACATTCTCCATTACCATGAACCATCTGTAAATCAGCAAGGGAAGGAACTGTATCAGGGAAGGAACTGCTGGGTTTTTTTCTTCAAAGCATGTGGCTTTCTACTTGCTCTCATCTGAGAGCAAAACTATTTTTTCTGTTCAGCTGTGCTGTTCATTTTTGCTGTGTGCATAGCTCAAGCAATGGACACTAGCACATCTAAAGCATGTGAATCCCAGATGTTAGTTTGACATTCTGAAGCTTTGTACCCAACTACTTGTTTTTTCCTGATGTTGTTCATTTTTGCTTATATAGTAAAACTAAAAAATAGTTTGCAAAATAATAATAAATAAAATAATAAAAAATAGTTTGCAAAATAAAGTAAACCAGAGGAAGCAAAAATCAGAGTTAAAAATAAGGCTTGATAAAACTGCAGGGGAAGTATTTTTATAGTATGTATTTTGTTGGCTCTTTTGTCAGTAGGTATGTTGCTCCTAAATACATACATAAATGTCTTTTGAACTCTACATGTGATGGACTAAGGCTAATTGTTTCTGAAGTGGTCTTAATATTTCAGCTGGATCAGGTTATGAAGCGAATGCCTTGCTGTACTTTGGGTGTTAAACTGCCTGTTGGTCCATTTAGCTTAGCTGGCTGAAGTGTGTCAACATTTTCTAATGGTCTTTAATAATGCTAGCTCTAGAGTTGTGTGTGCTTGAGCAAGAGTGTTCATGAGGCTTCCTAAGAAACTGCTTCCTCTTTCATACATCCCTTGACAGAAAAAGCAGAAAGTTGTTTTGAGGGTGAGAACAAGGCTCCCCAACTCAGGGGACAAAGGCTGCCAGGTTCCTTTGTAGCTTTGACAAGAAAATGGCATGTGCTTCACTGCTGACAGCCCCATGAAGCTGCCCATGGTCTCCTATGGTGCTGGTAATGGTGAGAGGCATGCCAGGAGCTGTGCCGGCTCAGGCTTTTGCCCAGGTTATGCCAGTGATGCTTTGGCTCTGGTGAGCCCAGGCCCCACACAGCCAGATGATGTTCAGTGAGACACAGACTGCTGTTAAGGGCAGCCATGTGTCTTCAAAACCAGATTTGTGCCTGGATTAGATCAATAATCCAGCATTAGTTTATTTAATGGCCTTCAGAGTTGTATTTTGGAAAGAAAAGATCATCTGCCTATCATGGGCTGAAAGCTACTGCCGTTTCTTTGTAGTGAAGGCATGGGTGCCTTTCTCCGATATAGTCTGAAGTAAAATAGCCCAGCATGTGCCCTCGCCAGTACCATGATTCACCGTCAGAACTAGTCTTCCGCACAACAGTGTGCGCGCAGTCTCACGTTTCACACAATGGAAGCTGTGATCTAGCATCTGCACAGGTGAATTTTGTCCCGGTGCAGCTCTGTGGCACTTTCCCCAGTCCCTGACTGCGGAGGCATTCAGGCTGGGCTCAGAATGCATTCGGAAATGCCTTTACGGTTTTTAGCAGTAACGCTTTCATTACTCTCCATCCGGGGGGGGTGGGGGGCAGCACGGCAGGGCCGCGGTAACCAGGTCACCGCTAGGCCCCCCCGGGGGGGCGGAAAATATGGCGGCGGCCGCCGCGTTACCTTAGTACCGCCCAGGGGCGGAGCTCGCCGCTTTTTCGCGCCAAGCCGGGACATCGGCTCCCGCCAGGCCGTTCCGCTCCGCTCCGCGCCGCCGGGCCATGGCAGCTCACGCCGTGCCCGGATACTCGCCCGGCTTCAAGAAGCCACCGGCCGTGCTGCGGCTGAAGCGCAAACGGCCGCGGAGGAGCGAGCCCCCGGCCGCCGCCTTCCCCCCGCCATGCGTCGCGGCCCCGCGGGGCTCTTCCGCACCCGCCCGCCGCAACCCCTTCTCCAGCCTGGACAACGCGCTCCGGGCGGCCGGCACCCCGCGACCGCTGGAGCGGGCCTGGAGGCCACCGGCAGACGGGTACCCCTCGGCAGAGCCGTTCTGGCAGGTAGGGCCGGGCCTGCGGGGACCGGGGGATTCTCTGTGGGGCCGGAGGGGCTCGGGGTGAAAGGGAAAGGAGCTTCCGCGCTGGCGCCGGCAGCCGTCGCCTTCAGCCGGCCGCTGCAGCCAGGAGCCCGCTCCTCTGAGGAAGGGCGGCTCCGAGCCCGGGGCTTCCCTGGCTCTGTGCACAGACCAGACCGAGCCGTTGCACTGCTCTGGGTAGGCGCCTTTCTATCGCACCGAGGGTGGGTGTTCGCAGAGTATACGTGCTTGTCCTCACTCCGGGAATTTCACTGCAGGGCGGTTTTATACATTGCGAACCTCGTGCTGACTTTGTGCTGCGTCTTACGCTTCTTTCCCATTCAGCTTTTAGAGCCTGTTTCTGAAGATACGCCCACCAGCAGAGCGGAGCCCTATGAAAGAACTGACATCCTCACCCTAACCGATGTATGAAACAACACATACCGCTTCTGAAATGGTGTTAAGCTGTTCTCGGTTCACAAAAATAGCTGAAATTGTTTAATTCAATATTTGATGGCCCATCTCTGTATAAAGTGATGTACTAAAATGTCAGTGTTCAAGAAACTGCCTTAAATTGCCTTGACATTTGCTGTTCAGGTAACAGTCTAAAGCCAGCCTGACGTCACTATTGTAGTTCCAGTTGGCAGAGGTTGTTGTCTTCTTCCAATTTTATTACCATGTTCACCATAATTCTCCTGTTCCTTAGTTCTATATTTTGTTGAGATTAAGCATGTTCTTCAAGGTGATGCATCTCCTGCGGTCTTTTATTCAGCTGCAGAAAGGGAACAAACAACTTCACTCAGCACACACAAAAGAGAATACTAAAGAACCAGTCTTTGAAAGGCAGTTTTGAGCAGGCAATGTCTAACATTCTTATAGTTTCAGAAACTGGAGTTCAGACTAACGTAGCAAAACAGAAAAATGACCTCTCAGAGAGAACAAACTGTCCTAGAGCTCCCCAGTGAGGTTTCCTGTATCCTCTAGGAAAAGTGTCTGACACTACAGCCACCAAGAGAGGATGAAATTAAACAGTGACGGGTTTGGCATGGAAATTCTTGTCTTTGTAAACTTCAGGCTAAGTTGTTGAGGTTTTTTTGGTTTCTTTTTTTTTTAAGTCCTTCATCCTTTTATCTGTTCCTAGTTCGTAACTTTTGGAAAGACTCCTGTGACTGAAAACCTACTTTTGCATTTTTATAAGCAATATAATGCTGTACTTGTAGTAGAATCTGTTACTGACTAAAATAATCAGTTTTGTATAAACTGTGACTTTGGTTCTCCTGTGAACAGTGAAACTCTGAGTAACTTAGAAATTTTGTCTGAAAAAGCGTTTTTGTTTTAAGTATGTGTCTTAAATTAAGGTATTTCCTTTGGAACAAAAGGAGTTAGGCATTTGGAAGTTCTGACTGCCCCATCCCTGGCAGTGTTCAAGGCCAGGCTGGATGGGACTTCGAGCAACCTGGTCTTGTGGAAGGTGTCCTTGCCCATGGCAGGGGGTTGGAACTAAATGACCTTTAATGTCCCTTCCAGCCCAAACAAGTCTATGATACTGCTGTGCACTGAATTGGACAAAAACAGGAGACGGCAGGTTTAACTTGTCTTTTTGTAGGCTACTAAACTGAAGATGTTCCATATGATAGGTGCAGTCCTGTACCTGGTCTGCCTGCCAGGAAAAGTATATGAAATTCACAAGGGAGGAGACCTAACAATGCTAAAATATAAATAGGTAGCTACATAGGTTGGTTTCTTGTTTGTTGGTGGTTGTTGGGTTTTAGGTTTTTATTTGTTTGTTTTCTAGGGGTTAACTGATGCTACTTCTGTTTTATAAGGACCTTCATTCACCTGCTGCTGTACCCGAAGTCCCCTCCTCACCAAAACATGAATTTCCTGCAGACTGGAGTATTAAAACGCGACTTCTATTTATGTCTTCACAACCTTTTACCTGGACAGAACACTTAAAAGCACAAGAGGAAGCTCAAGGATTTGCTCAGCATTGTAGAGCTATAGAAACAAACTTGCCACAGAACTTACAGGTAATATGTAAGAGGGTAGCTTGAAGCTCCAGCTTTAGAAAGGAGACTGTACCTTTGCACCTTTCTGTAAGTGTCCTGGCAGTGAAGGCTTGATTCTGTTTTATTTTCATCTTACGTTAAGAATAAGGCCTACTTAATAACCTGATTCCATCCATGGTTTGTACCTACAGCAGCAAGCAGTGGTAAGTGAGTGGTCTTAAATGACCACTTAGAAATTAAGGTAAATCTTAAGTTGTGGAGCAGTTGCCAGTTGCTGTCCATCTTTCTTCAGTCTGCCTTATTCACAAGCCGGGGATTTTTCTGTTTTACTATCTAATGTAATATTTCTTTAATCCTTCACTCGCAACACTGCCTGAAGTGAAGCATTACTGTCCTCACCAAATACTTTTTGACACCTAGGAACCAAAGCTGTCGACAGAACTGCGTTGTGCCTTTCAGCAAAGCCTCGTTTACTGGCTTCACCCTTCGCTGCCATGGCTGCAGCTGTTCCCTCGCATTGGAGCAGACAGGAAAATAGTCGGAAAGGCCAGTCCTTGGTCACAGGATGAAGACTTGCAACAAGTGCTAATGA